TGTGTGTGTGTGTGTGTGTGTGTGTGTGTGTGTGTTTTGGGGGGTTTTTTGTTTTGGTCTTTTTGAGACATGGTCTTCCTGTAGCCCTAGCTCAGCCTGGCCTCAGTCTTTGCCTCTGTCTCCCAAATGCTGGATTAAAGGAGTACACCACCATGCCCGTGTCACATTATCATAGCGAGTTCCAGGCCAACTGGCGCTACAGGGAGACCCTATCTCAAAAAGACCAAAAAAAAAAAAAGAAGAAAGCCATGAATGCATCTGTATATTAAGTTCCCCCTCTCTGTTTCCATAGTCTAGGATCTCCTGCCCAGGGAATGGTCCCTCCTACAGTTAAGATGAATCTTCCCATATCACTTAACAAAGATCAAGACAATTCCCCACAGGCATGTCCAAAGGCCTGTCTCCCAGGTGATTCTGTCAGGTTGACAAGTAGCACTATGACATTAATACAGAATAGAAATAAAGTGGAAGAGGGATTTTCATTAATTCACAGGATGTCATTTATGATTTTTTGTTTTATTTATATTTATTTTGGCTAGCCTCAAACTTGGAGAACTCCACTTGCCTCCACCTTCAGAGTACAGAAATACCTAATAGTATATTTCTCCCCAGCCATTATAATGCTGAAGTTTGAAGTTTATCTGAACAACTAATTATTTTTCCCTAATATATATATATTTTTTTTTTTTTTTTTTTTTTTTGGTCTTTTTAAAACAGGGTCTCTCCTATAGTTCCAGCTGGCCTGGAACTGTGTAAACCAGGCTGGCCTTGAACTCACAGAGATCCACCTGCCTCTGCCTCCTGAGTGCTGGGATTAAAGGCGTGCACCACCATGCCTGGCAACATATTAGTTATTTTTTAATAGAGAATCTGAATCATTTTCCAAATAAATTCTTTTAGAAGTGAACTTAATGATAAAAAGATTAGGCAGCAGGGCATGGTGTATGGTGTAGTATATAAACTAATATGTATGGTTTGATAAATCTCTTTTCTAGGCATGCTTTCAGAAGAGTGGCGCATCAGTGGTTGCTATTAGAAAATATATCATCCATAAGTATCCTTCTTTGGAGCTGGAGAGAAGAGGTTATCTCCTTAAGCAGGCACTAAAAAGAGAATTAAATAGAGGCGTCATCAAACAGGTATCACAACTATAGAAAATATAGAAATATTAGCCATGTTAAATCCATTTCTAATAATATTCCATCTCTGCATATATTGTTTATAAAAATAAACTTACATGTACTGGGCATGGTGGTACAAGCAAAGGCAGGTGGGTCTCTCTTGAATACAATGCCAGCCTGGCCTAATAGTGAATTCTAGGCCTGCCAGGGTTACAGGGAGATCTGTCGCAAAACAAAAAACGGTAAAATAAATGTAAAAGCTATGAATGCTTTCTGAGTGATGAGTATCTTCAGTTAAAGTCATATTGAAGCTAATATTTAAATCGCCTTTAGAATGGTCATTGATAAAAGCTCTTAACTAACTAGTATAATCATTAAAGCCCAAGTCCTATCTTATAATTATATGTCAGCATAGCTTATGGGCTAGCTTCATGTTTTCCTTTAAGAAAATTTAGTGTGTGACCTATTCTTGCCTCACTTTGTTGCTTGAACAATAGTTAATGTGCTGAACTAAAGAATGGGAGACTATGAATCAAGTTTAAAATTC